GTCAGAAGTCCAAAAGGAAGAGTGTCCTGGCCGTGGGTACTGGAAGCATCAAGGTCAAGTTTGGTCAGAACGACACCATCCCAAACCCAAGTGACAGTAAGCCTGGCGGAGACGGTGTCCATCTAGAGAACCGGACCAGCGATCGGCGTCAGAAGACAAGCCTGCAGGAGAGATCTCGCCCACAGGGACCTTACTACAGTTCCTCCATGGGACATGAAGAAACCAGAGCCAGTAGCACTACTCAGAAGTCCATTCTAAGTAAGAAAGAAGACCGGGAGAGTCTCCTAGATGACGACGGTCACATGCAAAGTCTTCCGGTAGACTTCACCAGTTTTCCAGCTCAGGTAGACCTGCCCAGGAGCAATGGAGATTTGGAAGACGACGATCCTGATGAGACACCCAGGGGCTTAAGTGACTTGGAAATTGGGATGTATGCTTTGCTCGGTGTCTTCTGCTTGGCCATTTTGGTGTTCCTCATTAACTGTGTCACCTTTGCCTTGAAATACAGGCACAAGCAGGCTCCATTTGAAGAGCAAGAAGGCCTCAGACACTCTCATGACTGGGTGGGACTGAGTCATAGAACTGAGCTGCTGGAGAACCACCTCAATTTCTCCACCCAACAGGAGGAATGCATTACAGCCATTGACCGGAGCGTGGATTTAGAAGAAAGCAAATATCTCCTTAGTGCCAACTCTCAGAAGAACCTCAACGGCCAAGTCTTCCGATCCACGGACTCTGCCCCCTCCCCGGAAGGGAAGGAGCAGAGGAACGAACCAGCCACCTCCCCCACCTCCAAACGGAAACGTGTCCAATTTACCACCTTCACCACCATCTCTTCCGATGGTGGGTACCCAACGGTCAACTCCATTTTGACCAGCAGCGAGGACGATATCAAGTGGGTTTGTCAAGACATGGACTTGGGAGAATGTAAAGAACTAAGGAACTACATGGAACAGCTACATGAAAAAGTGTAACAATACATCTGAAAAAGATTTTTGTTTGCTTTCTTATCTCTTTTTTCTCCCACTCACCTTTCTGCCTTTACATTGAGATACTAGTCAAAAACAAGGAGCATAGAGAGAGAGAAAGAAAAAATAATAATAGAACTTGGTGAACAATCCAAATGTGGCTCCTTGGGTTATCGTGGAAAACATCCAGGGTGTAGTCAAAATCCCAAATAACAAATATATATTGAACGGGTCTTGTAGAGAGGTGTTTGAAGCCAACCCACAAGGGAAAATAAAAAAATTAAATAAGGAGAAGTCAAATAAGACCTCATTCTTTGAGCTGATCCTCCCAAATCAAGGCCAAAAAGTAAACCCTGATGCATGGTTTAGATGCTTTCAAGCTGGTTAATTCTCAGTACTTCAGATTTGTCATCTGGATCTTATGTTTGGGGGAGGGGAATGGGTGGGAGGGAAAAATGGAAAAGTTGAAGCCACATCTCAGTCCACATGAGATGGAGGAGAACATCTGAGCAACAAGGACCAGCAGAACCAAAATCGTAATTTCTCTGATTTCTCTAATTTTCTCCAGAAATAGTGCCAAAGAATGTGGAATATATTTATCTATTTTCTTGCTTCTCCTTTATTATTTCTTCTTCTTCTTCTTCTTCTTCTTCTTCTTCTTCTTCTTCTTCTTCTTCTTCTTCTTCTTCTTCTTCTTCTTCTTCTTCTTCTTCTTCTTCTTCTTCTTCTTCTTCTTCTTCTTCTTCTTCTTCTTCTTCTTCTTCTTCTTCTTCTTCTTCTTCTTCCTTCTTCTTCTTCTTCTTCTTCTTCTTCTTTTTTTTTTTTGCAAGGAGGATTTACTAACTGTTCTATGATTTAGTAGGAAAGATTGCAACACGAGCCTTCACCAAGGAGAACGTGAAAGCTCCCCGTTTTTTAATTAAATAAAATTCTGTGGCCATTTGTCACATCCGGACTTCTTTTTATTTTTTTCTTTCCTAGAATTGCAGCAGCTTTGGCGATGCAGAATGTTTAGGGGGGGCCCAAAATTGGAGAGCTCACATTGTTCTCTAAGATTTGTCTTGTTCTGGTTCCGACCAGGTCTGCGTTCCACAGAAATCAAGATAGGAGATGGTTTGTAAGTAATAATTTGGTCCGGGATCAAAGGTAAAAATGTGTCCGCCCAAAAATGGATAATGGTAAAGATCTGGTTTCACAGCGCTCTTAGCAACATATCTGCATGACGTTTTCAGGTTTGGAGATGTGTTTCCTTGCTTTCTAACTCCTAAGATTCCTTTGGATCCATTCGTGGTCATCTTTGAAGGTTCCTTATGGATTTCTTTGATGATCAGAGAAGGAAAGATTCCTTTCTCAAGCATCTTCCTCTTTCCCTCTTTCTATCTCCCCCTTTCTGAAACACCCCCTACCATTTCAGAAATTATGACTAGATGACCTCCAAGGTCCCTTCCAACTCTGCTACTTCATTCTATTCTATTCTATTCCTTATTTCTATTCTATTCTATTCCTTATTTCTATTCTACTCTACTCTATTCCTTATTTCTATTCTATTCTATTCTATTCTATTCTATTCTATTCTATTCTATTCTATTCTATTCTATTCCATTCCATTCCATTCCATTCTATTCCATTCCATTCCATTCCATATTCTATTCTGTTCTGTTCTGTTCTGTTCTATTCCTAGGGATTTATGGACTTCTGTGTAATTAGTTTTTATTTGGAACCAGAGATGTTAACTTTGGAGTTGGATAGATCCTTGTATTCAAAGTAGAAACAATCAAGATTAGCTTCCAGCAATTTGGACGTTCCAGAATGGGAAAAGGCTGATGCTTCTCCGTTGCTTTATAAAAATGCTGACTTCCCAGATACAGTAGGTGACTGGTTTCATATCTCGCACATACCTAGTGGTTTTTCACCACCAATGAAGGATTTGCACGTGTGAACGGAATCTAAAGCAGGATGTAGACCAAAGCAAATGTTTCAGAAGTCCTAGGAAATTTCAAAGGTGCTTTTTCTAAAGGCAACCGGACTGTTTTTCTTTCTTGAAGAGGAAGATGAAGATGTAGAAAAGCCTCATTAGTTCTGATGGGAGTGGGGGAATGGAAGGATTGTATTTCATTGTAGTCATCTGGTTTTTAGCACTCCCTCTGAGAGCTCTTGAGGCCACTTGGGGGTTTATTGGTGGCCTCAGGGTCACCTAAATCAGGGTGCAATTGGTTGTGGAATCTTCTCCACTGCGTTGCAAACTGTAATAAGATATGTCTTATTACAACCCCCCCCCCATCTTCTGTTGAGGGAAGGGCGTTCAAGTCTAACATAAATGGATTCTTTTACCCCTCTTTCAATCCTGCGGTCCTCTCTATCCAAAATGTGGACTTTGCCATCTTCAGAAGAAGTGACCTTTGTCTTTCAAATGGAGATGGACCATTGGATCTTGTCCGGATGGGACAGGATGAACTGACGAGCTTTATTGGATGAGAAGCGAAATGTCCATGGAGATTCTCCATCTTCCAGGTCATGGTTGCCCCAAAGGTGCTTTTGCACAAGGCAACTTGACTCCCTTGTTTTTCTTTGGAGACATTTCGCTTCTCATCCCAGAAGCTTCTTCAGCTCTGACTGGATGGTGGGGAATGGAAGGATTTATACTCCTTGCAGACAGCTGGTCATTTGCATCCTCTTAGTGGAGTAGTTAAAGCTACCTGAAGGCTTATCTGTGTCTTCAGGGTCACCTGAGTGGTGCAAATGGGTGTGGAGCCTTCTTGGAACTGCGGAAAGGTTCGTGTTGTGGACTGGAGATAGATGATGTCATATCCCTCCCCCTCTGTTGAGAGAGGGCTGTTCAGTTTTGACCTAGATGGCCTCTTTGGCCCCTCTTTCCAACTAGTGGTCCTCTCTGTCCAGAATGTGGACTTTGCTGTCTTTGAAAGAGTGGCCTTCGTCTTTTAAATGCAGATGGACTGCTGAATCTTGTCCTAATGAGTAGCGAAACTCCTTCTCCATCTCCTCCTCCTCCTTCTTCTCCTTCTCCTTCCCCCTTCTCCTTCCCCCTTTCTCCTCCTCCTCCTCCTCCTCCTTCTTCTTTTCCGCTTCTTCTGCTTCTTCTTCTCCTCCTCCTCCTCCTCCTCCTCCTTCTTCTTCTTCTGCTTCTGCTTCTTCTCCTCCTCTTCCTCCTCCTCCTCCTTCTGCTTCTCCTTCTCCTTCCCTCTTTCTTCTTCTTCTTCTTCTTCTTCTTCTTCTTCTTCTTCTTCTTCTTCTTCTTCTTCTTCTTCTTCTTCTTCTTCTNTGGAATATATTTATCTATTTTCTTGCTTCTCCTTTATTATTTCTTCTTCTTCTTCTTCTTCTTCTTCTTCTTCTTCTTCTTCTTCTTCTTCTTCTTCTTCTTCTTCTTCTTCTTCTTCTTCTTCTTCTTCTTCTTCTTCTTCTTCTTCTTCTTCTTCTTCTTCTTCTTCTTCTTCTTCTTCTTCTTCTTCTTCTTCTTCCTCTTCCTCTTCCTCTTCTTCTTCTTCTTCTTCTTCTTTTTTTTTGCAAGGAGGATTTACTAACTGTTCTATGATTTAGTAGGAAAGATTGCAACACGAGCCTTCACCAAGGGGAATGTGAAAGCTCCCCCTTTTTTTAATTAAATAAAATTCTGTGGCCATTTGTCACATCCGGACTTCTTTTTATTTTTTCTTTCCTAGAATTGCAGCAGCTTTGGCGATGCAGAATTTTTAGGGGCCCCCCAAAATTGGAGAGCTCACATTGTTCTCTCAGATTTGTCTTGTTCTGGTTCCGACCAGGTCTGCGTTACACAGAAATCAAGATAGGAGATGGTTTGTAAGTAAATAATCTGGCCCGGGATCAAAGGTGAAAATGTGTCCAAAAAAATAATAATAATGGTAAAGATCTGGTTTCACAGCGCTCTTAGCAACATATCTGCACGACGTTTTCAGGTTTGGAGATGTATTTCCTTGCTTTCTAACTCCTAAGATTTCTTTGGATCCATTCGTGGTCATCTTTGAAGGTTCCTTATGGACTTCTTTGATGATCAGAGAAGGAAAGATTCCTTTCTCAAGCATCTTCCTCTTTCCCTCTTTCTATCTCCCCCTTTCTGAAACACCCCCTGCCATTTCAGAAATTGTGGGGGGAGGGGGGAGTTTTGATAGGTGGATTAGTTAGAACACGTAGCCACCATATCTCAGGTCTGAGCAGGTATGACTCAAAGCAACCTAGAACTAAGAAGAAATTTCTTGACAGAACAATTGATCAGTGGAACAACTTGTCTCCAGAAGTTGTGAATGCTCCAACACTGGAAGTTTTTAAGAAGAGACTGGACAGCCATTTGTCTGAAATGGTATAGGGTTTCCTGCCTGAGCAGGGGGTTGGACTAGATGACCTCCCAGGTCCCTTCCAACTCTGCTACTTTATTCTATTCTATTCTATTCTATTCTATTCTATTCCTTATTTCAACTCTACTCTACTCTACTCTAATCCTTATTTCAACTCTACTCTTCTCTACTCTACTCTATTCCTTATTTCAACTCTACTCTACTCTACTCTACTCTACTCTACTCTACTCTACTCTACTCTACTCTACTCTACTCTATTCCTAGGGATTTATGGACTTCTGTGTAATTAGTTTTTATTTGGAACCAGAGATGTTTGGAGTTGGATAGATCCAGTAAGTGACTGGTTTCATATCTCGCACATGCCTAATGGTTTTTCACCACCAATGAAGGATTTGCACGTGTGAACAGAATCTAAAGCAGGATGTAGACCAAAGCAAATGTTTCAGAAGTCCTAGGAAATTTCAAAGGTGCTTTTTCTAAAGGCAACGGACTGTTTTTCTTTCTTGAGGAGGAAGATGAAGATGAAGAAAAACCTCATTAGTTCTGATAGGATGGTGGGGGATGGAAGGATTGTATTTCATTGTAGTCATCTGGTTATTAGCACTCCCTCTGAGAGCTCTTGAGGCCACTTGGGGGTTTATTGGTGGCCTCAGGGTCACCTAAATCAGGGTGCAATTG